GCCACAGGAAACAGCATCCTCTGCCGGCCAGCCTTTGAGTCCAGGCTGGCCGCCCAGCCGGTGACCAAGGCCTGCCAGGGGGAGAGGGGCACGTGGAATGGGAGGGACATCCTGGTGGTCGACACGCCCTCCATCTTCGAGGCAAAGGCCCACTCGCAGGAGGTGTACAAGGACATCGCGGACTGCTACCTGCTGTCTGCCCCAGGGCCCCACGTGCTGCTCCTGGTCACCCAGCTGGGGCGCTTCACGGCCCAGGACGCGGTGGCAGTGAGGAGGGTGAAGGAGGTGTTTGGGACCCAGGCCATGAGGCACACGATCGTGCTCTTCACCCACCGGGAAGACTTGGGCGACGAGTCCCTGGACCATTACGTGGTCAGCACGGACAACCTGGGCCTGCGCCGGCTGCTGGCTGAGTGCGGCCGGAGGTACTGCGCCTTCAACAACCGCGCGGCGGGCGAGCAGCAGCGCGCGCAGCTGGCCGAGCTCATGGCGGTGGTGGAGCAGCTGGAGCGCGAGCGCTGCTACCAGGGCGACCACCTCTTCCTCCCCGCGCCGCGGCTGCAGCCAGGCGGGGGCGCCGGCGGCCCGGAAGCCTATGCGCACTACCTGGCCGAGGTGAGGGCGCAGGTGGACAGGCAGAAGCAGGCGCTGCGGAAGGAGGAGAGGAACCGCCAGGTCATGGCGACCCGCAGAGCCGAAAAGTGCACTTTTTTTGAAATTTGTGCCATTATTATCTGGTGCAGCTTAATTCTTACTGTTATCGCGCTGATCATATATTATCAGGTCTGATGCTTTGTGTTTTAGGGATTTCAAAATATATCAATTACTGCAGCCACTGCTCTAAGTATCCTCCATCAGAAAGAGGCCCCCCCTGGTCTGTGGAGGGCTGCAGGTCTAGGCAGCTCCGTTTCCCCTTCTTTCTTAACAGACTTCCGGTTGGGTTCAGACAAAACATCAGTTCCAGGGATGTTTTGTCTAAATACAACCCAGGTGTTCGTATGGTGATTATCCTGCAGGTCGTTGGTATTTATCCTGAAGAATTAAAGTCATCTTACTACAATGACACATGCATACCTATGTTTATAGCACTACAAGTCACAATAGCAAAACTATGGAAACTTCCTAGGCAGGTATCCATCAATGGATGAGTGGGTAAATAAAATATGGTGTATGCACATAAAAAGAGTTTTATTCCACCATAAAGCAAAACGAAATGATGGTACTTGTAGGAAAATAGATGTAACTAGAAACCATCTATAACAGGTCAAACTCAGAAGGACAAGGGTCATTTATTTTCTCTCATATGTGGAAGTTAGAGAGGAAAGAGAAAAAGAAAGGTTAGGATGGATGTCCTAAAAATCAAGGGGAGATCAGTAGAGGAAAGGGACCTACAGATAGGAGGAAGGGAAGAAGGGGAAAAATGCTGGGGATTTTAAGGAATATTTTTTGTGTATTTCCATATAAATTCCCAAGTAATCTTATTTATAAAATTTTTGTTAGGATTTTGATAAGAATTGTTTACCAAATTTTTATATCAATTTGACAAGAGTCAACATCTTTAACCAGTAGATTCTTTCAATCTATGAAATATCTCCTTTCTTTCTTTCACCAGTGTTTTGTAGTTTTCATCATGAGTCCTGTTTTTAAAAATTTAGGCAAATATTTAGTTTTTGAGTGTTGATATATTGTGTGCAATATGAATATGTAACAACAAATCCCCTCAATATGTACAACTATAATATAACAATAAAATGTGGAAAATGTTTTAAAAAAAACTATCATCAACTAAATACATAGATACATACACATAGGTACATACAGTGCCATTCTCTTTGACAATGATTGGTTCAGAAATGCTCATGAGACACCATGCCAACCAATGAGAAGTGAGTAAAAGTCTTGGTAGGTGGAGCAAGAGGTTTTTCCTTCCCAGGGGAGAACCATAGCAAGAACCAGCCTCTCTTCTTCCTTTTGACCTAGTTGGGTCTGGTTGTGGTCCTGGCACTGCAATAGCCATCTTGCTACTAACTCAGACTTGAAGACAATGCTTCCAAGTAGAACAGAGAGATGGAATAAAACCCAGACCCCGGTCCTCCACCCTGGAAGCCTACTCTATCTCTGCTTTTCCAGTTATGGTAACCAACACATTTCCAATAGGGCAAGCTATTTGGGTTTCAGGTCTTTTTTCACCTGCACTTAAAAGCATTTGGACTGATGAAGAGTTCTCCACATTCCTTTTTTATCCTTGAAATCTGTCAGAATTTCCCTGTTCTTCCTTTGAGGCAGTGACATCCAGAGTAAATGAAAAGGTTTGTTTTTTCTTGTTCTTAGAATTAGGAAATTAGCAAAACACTTCTAGTTGGATTATTTTGACAAATGGGAGCAGAGGAAATACTATTTCTAGGCAGTGCTCCTCTGTGCTTCTTCACCAGTTAGAGGGAAATCTGAGAGAACAGAGCTCACATCTGCATGCTCCAAGGAATCTGTGTAGCAAGCATTCCTGTGGGAGGAAGGGCGAGGGAAAGCCTCACTCCTCCTGTAGATGCCCTGGGTTAATACAGGGTCTGGTCCCCCTGGAAGTTCACAAGGGGCATGTCAGCTGGGGACCAGGCAACACTGCTCAGGGGAAAGTGGTGGGCTGAGTCTTGACTGGGAAGCCTGGGAATGAGCCATCCGCACACATGGAGGGGGGCCAACCTCCTGAAGCCCCACTCTCTGATACTTTCTTGGAACCAGACTGCCTTCCCTGGAGGGAGGATGAGACCATCCCTTGTCTATTGGACCAAAGCCCTCAGCATATCCAGATCCAAAGTCTTCACCTTCTCCTCAACCCATTGTTACTCCAAAGGGCACTGCTGCAGATGGAGCTGCAATTCAGGGGTTGCCAAGACAGATCCTGGTTCATCCCCTAATGCTGTCAGTGACCATCTTGCATTGACCCCACCCTCAGTGTCTCCCATACCTCCTGCTCTCTATCCCTGTTGCTAGTGGTACAGCCCAGGTCCTGACTACCTCTAGGGAAACCTTTCCTCTAAATATAATCCCTGTCATCTTATATATCCCACCACACGGTTTCATCGGTTTCCCTGTTTCCATTGAATTCCACCTTCTGCTTGTATTGCACCCCAGTGTCTGCCTGCTCCTTACTACCACTGAAATGTGGATCCACACTTTCCCCAAATCCCCACAGGCGTCACACAGTTGTCCAGGATTTACTGATTTGAAGTTAAAGATGCCATGTACCCATGCATCCCAGGCAATATTGAGAAATTTACTCTATGACAAGGCAGGCCCTGGGTCAAACCAGGGCCACTGCCTCTTTGTGCAGTTGTAATATAAGAAGTGCTTTGGCATTTTAATCTGCTGGGGATCTAACGCAGGCCCTTGAACATACTAGGCAAGTGCTTTACCTCTGAGCTACATCCCCAGAACCTTCCCCTTCCCCTTTTTTTTGAGACAGGGTATCACTATTGCCCAGGATGGCCTTGAACTTACAATTCTCCTGCCTCAGTCTCCCGAGTAGCTGGGATTACAGGTGTGTGACATCACATCCAACTACATTTTTAAACGGTTGAAGAAATCAGAAGAATACTGCTTGTTCTTCATACATGAAAATTGCATGAAGTTCAAAATTCAGTGTTCATTGGTTTTATGGGATGCAGCCTCTTGTTCACAGTGGATTTTGCATACCAGGACACTTGAGTAGTTGTAATATCTACCATATAGCCCACTGAGCCCAAGATACTTTCTCTCTGGACCATCACAGCCCCTGCTCTGGGATATTCCAGTGCCTGTATTTCCTGCTGTGAATTACTTTCCCTGGTGAGCTCCATCCCGCTGCTGTGATCCTTCACTCTACTTCCTGATCCTGCCCCCTTTCTCCAGCCCCTTCCACATCTCCAGAACCCCCTGGTTTGTTCTGCAGACTGCCCTCATCGTCTCCTCACTCAGGGGTGCAGAGAGGTGACAATCATCAACTTTTACAGCTGGTAATGATCTTGGGATATGATTGTGAATAAAACAAGAAATAACATGCTTCTCCTCCTGACATCACAACTATAGAAACTGGAGCCCAGAACGAGGCATTCCCACAGGCTCACAGTCCAGGCACCTTCCTTCCTTCAACCCCGCAGGTATTTCATGGTGGCTTCCAGATAGTTCATCATTTACCCTCATGATCTTTAACCAACTCCTCTCTCAAAACAAAACAAAACAAAAACAACACTCCTTTGAGTTTCAATTACCGAAAACTGCTGGGCCTTCTGGGAAACTGAGGCAGTGCAAAGACCCCCACCTTTGAAACCATGATTCTTGCCATCAAGTTGGAAAGATTTCAGACATATTGCTCAAAGAAACAGGCATGGGTTTATAGAAGGGACAGGAAAAGGGGAAGGGAACACTCTCAAGGGAGAGAGTGGATCCTCTTAGAGAGGAGAGGGACAACATGCTTCTCCTGCACCCTAGTTTTATTGAGGATCCCAGAGACGTTTCCAGAGAGTCCCACCCAGATCCACCTCTTCACTTTTGACAGACAGCAGGAAGACATCAAACTTTCAAGTCCCCACATCCATGACAGCTCTAGGTCATGGCTAGAGCCCTGCTGACTGGTTCTAATTGGATTCTTTTTTTAAAAAAATATTCTTATTTTATTTATTCTAATTAGCTAGATACGGCAGCAGAATGCAATTGTATTGATAATACACAAATACAGCACAATTTTTCATGTCTCTGGTTGAACACAAAGTACAGTTACACCATGTGTGTTTTCATACACGTACTTACGGTTCTAATTGTATTCTTAGCCATAAATTCTCACAGATTTTATGGTTAGGAGAAATGATCCTATCTCCCTAAGTTGTGCGATCTGGTCTGTGAAAAAGATCACAAAAGTCTCCCCCTTCAGGTTAACTTGTGTTCCTCTTATAGACATTATTTCAGGCCTGTGTTAGACCATGACGCAAAGAAAAGACCACCGACTCCAATTAGAATCAAATGAAAGCAAGCTTATTATTTTGACCAGTCAGGCTGTCTCGCCCAAAAACTGTGGAACCAGAGACAACCCCCCAGCTCTCCAAGAGTACAGCTTTATAGCACAGAAAGTTACACAAAGGGGGTTTGAGAACTTACAGATAACAAAATTTTGACAAGCATAACACAAAGGCTAGTTCATATTTTGCTGGCCCGACAGCCATCAGAATTTATGAACGTCATTAGAGCCTCAGAGAGGGGTCGGTATCTGGCCAGAGAAGGCCAAGATTTAGGAGGCACCACTAAAGTTCTCCGAAACTTTAGTGGTGCCTCCTAAATGGGTGAGTTCAAGGCACAGGCAGGCACTCCAAGCAGCTTTACAACATCAAATTATGGCCAGGCTATGTAGAAATCCTATTTTACAGAAATTCTGTTTTACAGAAAACAGAAATGAATCCTTTATAAATGGGGACAAGAGGGCTCCTGATCTTAAGAGGGAATTAGGCTAGGTTTATCACCTGCATTTCTCCGCAGATGGCAGGTAGTTTGCTGAGAAATGTGACATAGCCTGTCTACTTAGGCCAGGCAGAGCTTCAGGTAAATTGCTTCTTGGAAAAGCATGTGGTGGGGGCCGGGGGCAGCACAGTGGGCCCATTTAACAGAATTATTCTGTTAATTTCCCCTTCCCACCATTTGCAGCTGTCTGTTCTCCAACATTAATTACCATATGCAAGAAAATGCCACACCATGATGGTGGCTCTGGGGGCAATCAGTTCCCGCGATTAATATAAAAGGTCATTAAAATGACAAAAGTAAGCACACCGCATAAAATCAAAAGGGCAGATATTACGTAGCGAGGAATCATGCAGTTTTCGGCTCTGAGGATCGCCTTGACCTTGCAGGTCCTCTCCTCCTTCCGCAGCGCCTGCTTCTGCCTGTCCACCTGCGCCCTCACCTCGGCCAGGTAGTGCGCATAGGCTTCCGGGCCGCCGGCGCCCCCGCCTGGCTGCAGCCGCGGCGCGGGGAGGAAGAGGTGGTCGCCCTGGTGGCAGCGCTCGCGCTCCAGCTGCTCCACCACCGCCATGAGCTCGGCCAGCTGCGCGCGCTGCTGCTCGCCCGCCGCGCGGTTGTTGAAGGCGCAGTACCTCCGGCCGCACTCGGCCAGCAGCCGGCGCAGGCCCAGGTTGTCCGTGTTGACCACGTAATGGTCCAGGGACTCGTCGCCCAAGTCTTCCCGGTGGGTGAAGAGCACGATCGTGTGCCTCATGGCTTGGGTCCCAAACACCTCCTTCACCCTCCTCACTGCCACCGCGTCCTGGGCCGTGAAGCGCCCCAGCTGGGTGACCAGGAGCAGCACGTGGGGCCCTGGGGCAGACAGCAGGTAGCAGTCCGCGATGTCCTTGTACACCTCCTGGGAGTGGGCCTTTGCCTCGAAGATGGAGGGCGTGTCGACCACCAGGATGTCCCTCCCATTCCACGTGCCCCTCTCCCCCTGGCAGGCCTTGGTCACCGGCTGGGCGGCCAGCCTGGACTCAAAGGCTGGCCGGCAGAGGATGCTGTTTCCTGTGGCGCTTTTCCCGCTGCCTGTTCTGCCCACCAGGAGGATCCTCAATGAGGCCGCTGTTGCAAAGCAGATCTCTTCTACTTCACCTGTGAAAAACAGGGAGCTGTGCTCTACCAAGTTGTGATTTTCAGACCATGGACCCTCATGGGACTCTCTCACAAGCTCAGGACCTCCTTCGCAGACACATAGGCATATTTAAATGCATCCAAATATGTGCCTACAATGTTAACCGGTTCTTGATTGTAAGATGCCCAGCTGGGGCTCTGGCTTGATCCGTAGCCAGGGGCCAGAAGTGCCACACTAAGGAGCTGCTTCACGCACTTCATCTGGATGATTTTTCTTGGGGGGGGGGAAGTGGTCCCTATGCTTTTATCTGAATGGTGCTTAGGGCAGGCCAGAGGGCATTGGCTATTAAATAAATGTGAGTCTAGAAGGATGCAGAGATGAGAAGCCCAAGTATACTTCTCTCATGCACAAGTTTCCAGGTATACCGCGTAGATGAGCTCAGTGCCCTCACCTGGACCTTAAGAATAAAAAAGGTCTCACATGGCTGAGCTGTAGTGACCACCACCACTGCCAGATGAACATCCCTGTGTCTCTTTGTTGGGGGGAGTGGGGTTCTTGAATTTGATATGATTCCTCATCTCAAATTGTGACCTCCTGGGTCACAGTTAATGTTAGTGCAAAATCTGGGAGATGACACTAGAATGGGTGGCTAAAGAAGACCATCAGAAGCACATGTGCTAGAAAGACCATCTATTTGGTTCATTGAAGTGCAGGAAATTATAACAAAAGTAGTGTAGGAGATGATGGCTCTGAGCCAAGAGCTACATCTTCAATATTGGAGTGGTTGAGAATCTGGAGATGTCTAGAGTTCTTTAGACCCAAATGAACTCAACCTCTTTTTTAGGCACCTAAAATTGATTATTCCGTTCTTTCTATGCCATGTTGAGTCTTCCTTTTGTTATGTATTCTGGGGGTGTTTCAATCAATCAATCACTAAGTCTCTGTGGGGAACTTTTTTCCAGTGAGAGGAACCAGGGCAAGAGAAACCATGTTCTTCAGTTCCCAACCTCTAACCTCTGGCCTGAACTTCATTTCTTCCACAGGCTGTGCAGGGACAGCGTCACACCATGTAGTGTGTGATTGGTGACAATGGTGGGCCAGGCACAAGAGGGCTAGAGAGGTAGGGAATAAAGGATAGTTGCCCTTTTCTTCTTCAGTCTAGAGTAACGCGGTTTCCATCCCTGTTTGGGGGGTGAGCTATGGGTAGGGAGGCAAGAGCAACTCTCCCAAAGACTGATGCTCTTTAGAGCTTTCAGACTTTCTTACCTTTATTCATAGTCCCATATCTGCTTTTCTGAAACTCTTCCATTCTTTTCTGGAACAAAAACAAGAAAGGAATAAAAGGTGGTGTCCATATATGAGCTGGTAAGCACCTCAATTCTGAACAATTATTAACTTAAGAATTATTATCCTTAGATAGTGCTTTCCATTGCTAATTTTCTATCTTATATTTACTCAAAAGCATCTATAAGTGCTTTGTACACAGGAGCCAATGCTGGGTTATTCTAACACAGTGCTCTGTGGCTTTTCTCCTTAGCTTGCAGCAAAACAGGAAATGTTTTTTAAAAGCTAATCAGTTGATTATCCCTCTCAAAACTGAAAGCCACAAAATGAAGAAAGCATTCTTCAGTGAATGAGGAGTGGGGCATCATTTTTTTTTTTTTTTTTTTTTTACTGGTACCAATGTGGGCAAACTTGCAGACCAGACAAAACAATGCAACTAACACTGATGTGTTTGAATACTGGGAATTTTTTAATCCCGGAAACTCCATTAGATGAATATTCCCGTGAGAAAGGGGCACATGAAAGGCACTTTCCAGTGGGAGGGTGGCCCTGGGGACTGGGCACTTCTCCAAGGACCCATGAGAGATGAGGGATTCGAAGGGAGGGAGCATGAGGACTCCCCCACAGCGACAGGTGGAGAGATGATGGGGCTGTGGCTGAAGGGGAAAAATCTACATTAGAGACCAATTCAAAATATTTCCCACTTAATTTTTAGTCAAATGTCTTTCCTGATTGGTCTCCTAATAATTACCATTTTGGAACCCAATAGGCTTAACCAGAAATTGGCATAAGCACTGGCATAAATTCTTCATTCAAATGAGGCATAACACTGACATTTTTCATGTTAGGGAAAAGTAAGCACACATTAGAAGGATGGCTGGTGAGATGCTACTAGGAGGGTCAACTCTTACCTTATGTTTTACTTGCTCAGTTTTAAAGATGGCTGAGTTATGAAACAAACTTTTTGAATGGGGAAATACACAGAATAATAAAACAAATATTCACCATTTGCAATGAATAAATTTTACCACGGCTATTCTGTTTGGTTGAGAAATTAAAACATCATAGATATATTTCCCATTTCTTTTTCTTTTTTTTAATCTCTAATCATTCTTTCCTCCTCCTTCTGTCTTTCAGAGGCAATCAATATTCTGGGATTTTTTTTTTTCCAATGCTGGCAACAAACCCAGGGCCTCAGGCATGCTAGGCAAATGCTCTACCACTGAGTCATACCATCAGACCTCTCCAAGGTCTTTATAAGTCTTTCTTATTTGTATATTTACACTTCTGTATACATATGCATCTATCGAGAACTCACAATACTGGTTTTGTATTCTATACTTTTACAGATTTTTGGTAACATTTTATCCAATTCTTTGTTAACAAACACTTAGGCTGTTCAGAAATATTTGCTTGCTACCACAAATGATGCTGCAAAAGAATTTGCATAGACACTCTTTGCACATGGGTGTTAACAATTTATATGAGGTATACCTTTTCAACTGGGTAGATATTGCCAAATATGACTCTGGGTTAGTTGTGCTAATTCATGTTTATTTCAGTCACATGAAAAATTCCCCAACTTTTCCCCAATTAGTGATGTTACACTTAATTTTTATCACCCTTCTGAGCAGAAATAAGGATGTCTCAATTGGTTGAAATTTGTCTTTTACTGATTACTGTTGAATTCAAAACAGTTTTCATAGTTGATTTTATATTTAAGTTACTTCTGTTATTTTATCTTTTACATATTATACTATTCACTCAGTGGATTTTCTTGTCCCTCATTAGAGGAAACCATTCATTTTTCTGTTATCAAATACATTAGAGCCATTGAACAATCTCTGATCCCTTCCCCACATTCTCCTTTCCCCTCTCCTCCCTTCCTTTCTTCCTTTGCACCCAGAGAAGAGCCTTCTCCTCATCACCCTCTCCTACACATACTGTTCTCCTTTCTGGTAAGTTATATCCTGGCTTTTGCTAAAAATGCCCCAATTCTCTGACACTGATTGTGGAGGTGATGTTGATGATGAACTTCATCATCCTGATTCATCTCTGGGTGGCCATTTGTAATGTTCAGACTCCTTTCATGTCCATTGTAAAAATTGTTCTCCTATGTTCCCTGTGATGTGACTAAGGTTCATATTAAAATTTCTATTAAAATCTTAGGAAAAAGCATCAAATGACCGCATATTTATCATGAAACTAAATCCTCAAAGTGACCCCTTTGCCTGTGTATTTTTTATGATTTCTTAGTGGAGAGACAGGAGCAGAGGTGGGGAGGGAGAAGAAGAGGATGAACAAATTCCAGAAGAGTCAGCAGCCTCCTGGATGTAATACCACCATGCAAGGTCAGGACACAAATTGATATCGACAGGCTTCCAGCCTGTCCTAAAACCAACACAGAATTGTATTGCAGAATGTTCACTGTATGTGTTTACAAAGCTAACTAAATAAAAATCATTAAAATAATCAAAACTAATCATTAAAGTAATTTGAATTAAAATAATTCAAAGAAAAAAATTCAGGGACAGGAGTTGTTCTGCGTTGAAACATTTTAGTTTGAAACAATCTGGTATTTTTTCTAGATGTATTTCTCAGTGTGACCCAAATGGTGTCCTGAGGGTGTCACGAAATCCAATAAAATGTAACATCATTCAAAGTGCAGCAAAAGTGGTTCTCTTGTGCCTGCTTTTGAGTGGATCAGGTTGCTAGGGGAGATGTGTGTCCCATGGGGGAATAGTTTTGGCACAGAGTAACAAATGACGAAGTGTCCAGAGGTGAGTCAGGAGGGATACTGATGGAGATGTTAAAGGAGACATAGAGAAGAAGGAAAGGAATCGAGTCAAGTTTAGGAGAAATCTGTGGACATATGGTAGACCTGAAGGAATGTGAAGCCTATTGGTCAGCAGAGGAGACAAAAGTGAGTGTGTGTGGGGTGTGTGTGTGTGGGGGGGGTTGAGAATAGAGACTTCTTCCCCCCAATAAAAATCCTACAGATTTTTCCTAACAATGGACAAGGACACATGGAGATTGGCAGGTAGTATGTGGGCAAAATAGTAGCAGCAACTGATAAGGGGCAGCAGGAGGGTCCAGCTTAGGGAGGAGGTTGAAGCAAATGATCATAATGTACATTCTGAATTGAAAATTGCATGGACCTGATTTTATCACCATGATACCCATTTATCAAATAATGCAAACAATTTATCAAATAATGCTATTTTGAGAAAGATTCAAAACAACTGTTATTTTCTTCCTGCTTCATTAGTATGAACTTGCCTGATCCTTACGTTTCCACTAGGAGAATCACTGGTTGACAGGTCTGTCACTGTGATTCCAAGAGGCCTTTCTCGCACAGGTTAGCTGACCAAGGGACTCTTCACATGTGCCCTGAATCTGGGACCGTTGTCCTAGATTCACACAGTACAGTATCATAGCAAAGGTGTAGGGACTTGGGATGGGAGAGGGCAATGAGGTGGTATTGAGAAGATCAAGGTCAAGGTTTTGAGAAGAGCAAGGTCAAGTCCACTGAAGAGTCTTGTGTGCTACGCGGAGCCCTAAGAAGCCATCTGACTCCTGGAAGGAGGTGCCTGCCAGGTCGGGGTGGGCTGAGAAGTGGGAGGCTGAACTGCTGAACTAAACCTCCACCCCTAAGGAAGCCCGGGAAGCTCCAGGCCCTCTGGGAGCTTCCATTATCTCACGTGTCAGGCAGGATGAGGGGACTGCCCAGCTTTGTTCCCCGGGTTTCAGGAGAAGGAGTGGGCTAGGGAACGAGCAGCTAGCCTGAGCAAACGCCACGGACCTAGGCGGCCTGTGGACAAGGGGGAGGTTTAGGCTGGTGTCCCACAGCTGCCGTTGTCCACGATGCCCACTCCATTGCACTGCTTCGTTGGCCAGGGGACCCAGAAGGACGAGGGCTTTTGCAAATTCGCGTTCTAAGTTAGAACTTATCCATGTCCTTCAGCCCCCAGAGCATCCCTGAGCGTAAACCTGCCTCCTTACCGCGGGCGGCGGTCAGCGAGCGCGAGGTTCCTCTCAGGAAGGCGAAGGACAGCAGAGCCAGGGCACCTGCTGCGCTGAGCCAGACGCCTTGGGTAGGGAGCAGCCCGGGCGAGCGGAACCCTCCCCCTGCTGCAGGAACACCGGGAGGATGGCGCGCTCGGGCTCCCAGCAGACTCGCTGGGGTTGTTGGAGACCCAGTGAAAGCAGGTCTCTGGGACCAGCCAATGAGTGACTTGACCCCGCACTTCCTGCCCACGGGCCACCCGCCGTCCACCCCTCCCATTTCCCCTTTGTGACTCTTAAAGTGAACAGTATTCGGAGCAAAGAGGTCTTGGAGGGAATGACACAGCCTTTCCCCTCCCCCAGGTTCAGAAAAGCACCCCCGCCCTGACGTCTGGGAAGTACTGGGGCTACAGCCCTACCCCCCAGCACCCCAGCATCCATGGTGAGCACTTGGGCCTCTGCCTTCTCACACCCCTGGGCCCCTTCTCATTGGCTCTAATTTCTGGAATCTTCCTGCTATCCAGGAGCAGAAAGACACTGCTAGTCCTGGAGAACCTGGGTGAGCCCCTGACAGCAAACCACGTGGGCTGGCAGCCTCTTCTCTGCCACGTGACAGAGCCAACCCTAGGCACAGGCTCCAGTGTATCTGTGCGTTTATTTGGGCAGGGCTGATAGCAGGGCTCTAGAGTGTCTATTTTCCAAATGATTGCATGTTTAAAGTTTAAGCAACTATCATAAAGCAATGACCTCACACAGTGGGGTTGAGAATACAAAATGGATTTAGGTGGAGGCTGTCATATGCCAGAGAATCCCCACCTTCCTTCCTTTCTGTTGGCTTTTGAAATTAGGTTTAGAGTCACATCATGATCATTATCCAAGTGTCAACCCAGAAAACATCCCCATGAAAGTGGGCGAGAAAGAGAATAGCTTTATTACACATAAGCATTAAGCCAGAATGTGATGCATATCACAGGTAATCCACTGAGAGATTGGTCACAGATGTTACCTGGTCACATAGCCAAGCAGATACCACCCATGAGGCGTGTGTTCTCAAGATAAGCTGTAAATAATCCTCAAGGGAGAGTGTGGCAGCATCCTTTAACACTAATGAAGTCACCTGGTGATCTTGTGTGTTGGCTAATTGCCTTTATCCAGAGGAAAATAAATTTCTACCCCTATGACAAGCTGGAGAGAGGAAACTGGGCAAGTTAGGCCCCCACCTAAGTTAAGTTGGCTCCTACTTTCCCAGGGAGATAGGGAGACTGGGGTATGCCACCTTCCTCAACGCTTGCCTTCACAGAGATGCCTCCCAGGTGCTAGTTCTTCAAATTGGCAAAAACTTTTAAAAGGCCAGGATTGGTGACAGGCACCCAAAATACTAGTGATTAGGAAGGCCGAGTGGGAGGATGGCAAGTTTGAGGCCAGACTAGGCAATTTAGCGAGATGTTTCAAAATTTAAAAAGATTAAGCTACCAAGGCCTGGGAATGTAGTACAGTGATGCAGACCCCCAGATTCAATCCCTACTACAGGGGAAAAAAACTTTTTTTTTTTTTTTAATATCAAAGGGGCAGAGAAAGAGGAAGAATCAACAGTTAATTACAAGTTTTATTTTTAAACAATGCTCTAAGAAGGGAGGAGGTAATTCTTCTCTGCTGTTTCTTCCATCAGGAGGAATTATCATTGTACTTTTTTTTTTTTGGTTTAGTTTTCTTATTCTCTAGAAGTCTTCAGTGTTCCTTTCTAGCAGTTCCTGGGCTCCTAACTCAGAGAGCCCCAGAGAGTCAATGAGGAAATGTACTAACTGACTGCTAGCAGTCTCCCAGATGAACCACGGGTTCCTTTGAGGTCAGTGACTATCTTTAAGTCAAGGTGCTTAGCCCTGAAAAGTGCTCAAAAACACTTATTGAATAAATGAATGAAACCTACTAGTAAATGCTCCAACAGTTCCTTCACTTCCTTCTGTAGTTAGTTCTAGAAGAGCAATCTTAGCAGGCTACTCTTAGGATAGAGACTTAGACAGGTGCATGCAGCTATCCAGACATGAAGGTTCCAGGAGGAGACATTGTGTTCTTTTCCACACCTTCCTGACATTCATCTATTCAGATCTGCAACAAACTACGGGAAACCCTGGACACCTAGGAAATGACCGTTTTCCCAACAATTGTTCTGTGTGACACTAAAGTCAATCCCCTTTCAGCCTGAACAGAGAGAGAATCACTCTCTACCTGCTTCTTTGTGTTCCATGTTCTCCTCTACCAAGCCTCCTTCAGTCATGGCAGAAGGTCTTTACCCCATGCTGGCCACCAGTGCTCCTCATGTGACTCTCTGGGTGGAAAGCACCGAACATGCTCAGTTGTCAGCATGCTCTGGGCACTTGACAGAGTTCCGAAGGCCTGAGTGCAGTAGGCATTCAGGGTGGATGACTGCTGGCCAGGTGAGAATCAGCTTTCCTGAGCTCAGGGAATCACAGCCACATCTCTGGGACATTTTGAGCAGCCATCTTCCCTACCCACTTAGAGTGATCCAAGGGGCCCTCGGTTTATGCCTCGAATCTCCCATTCAAGACAGAAGTTAGGATGAAAATGATTGATAATGGTTTTCTTCTGATAGAGGAAGAGGTGAAGCCAGGCAGAGAGGAAGTGCAGCATTTAATGTTTTCTCCTGAGCCATGGTGCTGGGGTCCTAGGAGGACCCACCCTCCCAACTTACCCAGAACACGACTGGATTTACCACTAAAAGTCCAACATCCTGGGGAAACCCTTAGACCAGTCAAATGAGTCACTTGTGGTCCCTGAACACGTTGTTCATGCGTGTTCTCCCCCATCATGTCCCTCTGCCCCTTCGTGCCTTTTCTGGCCCTGGGATAGGAAGTCCCCCTGAACAAGACTAGCAGGAAATGTGGACCTGGAACTTCCAATCAGAGTTAGGAAGGGCTGAAGCAAAATACTGAAGTCTGGTTTCTTTTCCTCGTCTACATTCACTCTAAAAATTTTTTTTTCCTTGCAGAAGTTCTTGAGTGGGCCCAGTGTGTGGGGTATAAATAATCCTTTTAAAGAAATAGATGTTCTGCAAATCAAATGCCTGGGCTTACAGGTAAATAAGTTAAACCCAAAGAGGTCAGGTGAAGACATCCTGTATTAGGTGGGCCGTCTTTCTTCTGTCAGTTTTGCTATCAATAGATGCATTTTGGTCTTCTAGTTTGGACAATGGGAAGGGAAGGAAATCCATGCCCTGACCAGCTCAGCGTGCTCTTCTAAAAATTAAAGAGCAGGCCCAGTATAAAACACAGGCATTTCTGTTTTATCAGTGTCATTGTTTCCTTTGTGTCTGGGCAAGGTCGTAGGCTACTCTTTTTAGGTTTAAGAGGAGTCAGATGAGGGTGAGCAAAGAGTCTTCTGGCTCAGGATGTGTCAAAGAGGCCACACGTGCCCAAGAAGCTCCATAGCAGGAGCAGAGGTCCTCTGAGGGTAAATCCAAGAGGTGGAGCTGAGGGTTCAGAAATGCCCAGGTCAAGACACTGGGCTGCTGTTTGAGCCCATAGCAGACCCAAGGGTGGAGGGAGAATTAGAGATGCCATATATCATGTGCTAAATATCTGATATGTCCTAAACTTACCATTTTCTTCTGAGGCTATACACCATAAGAGGCCTGGTGAGTGGAAGTCCAGATAGAACTTGCCAGAAGCAGACCAAAAACCTTTCCTTTAAGGCATCCACAATATTAGAGGGACAAGCCATATGCAAATGAAAGACAATGAGTAAGTGCCCCCAAATGCATTCTTTAGACCAGGGTATTTCATTTGCCTCATTATGGACATTAAAAAATGAAATAGAGGCTGTCAACATTAACCACGTTAAATATGAGTATGTGGAAGTGTTGGTAAAGCTTTTAAAATGCATTATGGTAAAAAATATGTAAGAAGCACAGTTTTAGGCAAGTTATTTCTTGGGAAGAAAAGAGGTCAAAACGGACCAACTCTAAGGCGAAAGCACTGAAAACAAACAAACAAACAAACAAACAAACTAAAATCCCCAATTAAAAATCCTGTTTTCCCAGGGCATTGCATTTGTCCCCTGTGCAAGCTATGGGTCATTTCACTATTTTCTAAGACAAGAAAAATTCAGCAAGATGAAGAAAATGTCTTAAGGAAGATTTTCAGTTAGAAAACTTTATTTTTAAAATTTTCATACATATTGTTAAAAAGGAGACTTCAAGTGAGATTTGAGCCTTTGCAAAGTTGATAGTGATCAAAGTTGTTTTCATGTCACTAAATTTCTGAGTATGAAAACGACAGGATTCCTTTGGAATGAAGTTTTAATATTCCCCTTGAACTCTTAAGCATTGGGTTCCTTTATTGCTAAGTTACCACAAATTTTAAGACTTGCAATCTCTGTCACTCAGGTCATTCATGAACTCCGGAAGAGCAGTGCATAGACCAGGAGGGCGCTCCCCAGCAGGAGGGCCAGGCCCAGTCTCCAGCAGGTCCTTGGGGACTTCCGCCATTGCCATAGCCCCTCCAGCAGCCTCATCCCCAGGGGCCTCTGCACGTGAGCCACCAGCATCGCGGACACCCTGCGGAGCCTCTCCTCTGGGTCGGCGCCTTGCAGCGCCTGCGCCAGGTCGTACACCTGGTTGGTGTAGTGTGCGCCCCCGCGCATGCGCACCAGGCCCTGGACCAGGCCCAGCAGCTGCTCCACCTGCGCCTGGCGCTCGCTGCCCGTGGCGCGGTTGTTGAGGGCGCAGACTCGGCCCTCGCACTCGGCCACCAGCTCCCGCAGGGCCTGGTTCTCCGTGCAGCGCACGTAGTCCTGCACAGAGTCGCCGGCCAGGTCCTCCTTGTGGGTGAAGACGAGGACGACTCGCGCCACCACGGCCTGGCCGAACAGCTCCTTCACCTTGCGCAGCGCCTGCTGGTCCTGGGCGGTGAAGCGGCCCAGCTGGGTGACCAGCAGCAGCGCGTGCGGCCCGGGCGCCGACAGCAGGTAGCAGCGCGCTCTCTGCAAGCACTCGGGGTCTGTGTTGTGCACGTCGGAGCCGAAGAGGTCGGGGGTGTCGATGACGTGCACGCGCCACCTGTCCCAGCGCCCGCTGGCAGCAGCGCAGGCTCTGGTCACCGACGTGGCTCCCAGCCTGGACAGGAAGTGCCTGTGGCCCAGGACGCTGTTCCCGGTGGCGCTCTTGCCGGCTCCGGTCCTGCCCACCAGGATGAGCCTCAGCTCAGGCTCCTGCCGGGACCCGGTATCCTCTTCTGAAGCTGGAGGACCAAGGGTTAGAATCCGACATCAGTTCAACCAACTTCCACTGGGCAGCTCCTCTGCTTTCCAGCCAAGGGTCTTGCCAGTTCACCCCAGGCTGGAGACCCCTCTGGGAATTACGTGTATTTGGTCACGAGTGAGCCCACTCCCCTCTTACCCTGAGCTGAACCACAGGATGCATTGCTGGGATCTGTTCTTACCGTAGGGGTCTTCTTCATCTCTTGCCATCTTCTATCCTCTCAGGTGTCCCTGAAAGTCCCAAACACGATTTGCTCATTCACGTGTCATCCCTCTGAATAGCATAACCACCTTTTCGTTTTGCCAGGTAAAGTCCAACGAACTGAGGATGTCACTGTTACAAGACATGGCCCTTGCTTGTGAGGGTGGGAGCATGCAGGTGTGTGCTTTGGGGAGGGGCAGGTGTCCAGAGAGGAGGCAGGTACATTTTTTGGTTTTTGTTATCTTTTGTTGTTGTTTTTTGGGGATTACCGGCGGAGGGGCCGGCCTTTGGTTGGTTTGGCCCCTTGGGACCTTTCGTTGGTTTTTTTTTTTCGGGGCTTCAATTGCAACCGGCCAAGGGCAAGTTTTCACATTTACTCTGTGTAATTTATACTAAGCCTCAGGTATTAATTTTCCCAGATAATAATTCAAGGTCAATGTCATGAGCTCCTGATATAAAAAATTCTCAGAGGATTCAGCAGCCAGAAGACACTTAGTTAAATCCTGAGGACTGGGAAGTTTACCAAGGGACTTACAGACCTATTTTGGTTGGACTGGAGAAGGAGCAAGAAGAAAATGGGAAGCCTTCTTTTGGAAACTGGAAGACAGTCACCTCCCAAGCCTACCTGCAGATTCAGCTTCTGTTGTCTTCCAGGCAAAGCCCTGCCTTGTCCAAACACATCTACCTGTGCTCCGTGGCTGGGGGGCCTGGGACCTGCCCTCAATCACTAGTTGTGAGGTTTTCTCAGTAAAGGGATATGCCCGAGTCTAGCATTATTTCATACAGTGGACACTCTGGTCACGTTTCCATGATCCCACAAATCCCTGAGCACAAATGCATGGTCTTCCCTCAGTCTGTATCTCCAGCCTCATTTCCAGCTAATCCCTGCTCATTCAGCTACTCCACAAAGAGCTGACTTTAGCGCAGTTCCAACCCCCTCTGTGCTCTCACCCCTATGACCAGCCATCCTCTCCCATGTTTCTTTCAGAGTTCCTATCTACATTTCCCCATGGTTTCAAATTCTGCCTCCTTATGCCTGCCACCCTGGTTACTGGGAACTGGGAAGTTTACCAAGGGACTTACACACCTACTTTAGGGTGGTTGGACTGGGCATCAACACAAAGGAAAGCAGAGAGAGAGAGGGCTGAACAGCTTGCCTCTGGCTGAGGGTCTGAGAATGGATTTGCTGCGTTCAACCCTAAGGTGTTCTAGGCTGCAGGAGCTCCGTGGCCACCTCCCCAAGTTCTCCCCTGAAGTTCAGCCCACAGGATTTGTGTGGCTGATTGTATTGCATATAGAAATCCACAAACTCCTGTGATGAACAGGAAATGAAGAAACAGCCACAAGATTATAGAACAAGATGAAGAATTTAGCTGATGATGAAGTCTCTGATAAAGCTGAAAGTGGTAGAGCATGTTGGAGGGGACCCAGGCCAGTGGGACTTTCACAGAGTTTCAAATGGGGTTGATATTATTTTAAATAGTTTTTAAGAGAGAGATAAGCCCCACTGACATCTGAGGTGAAAGTGGTTCTTAATTATTCACAAATATAAAACGTGCAAATCTATATTCTTAATACTTGAGGAGACGTCAAAATTCATTATTTTCTTTCCTCCCAAACTTGTTTTTCAAATGACCTTAGTGTTCTGTCAAAATACACATTTCTCCCACCCACCATTAGAGATTCTGATTCAAAGAATGTGATCCTTCTGATGTAGTTAGTCCATAACTCAGAGTTGGAAATCAGTTATCTTTCAAATCCTTTCATTGTATAGATGAGGAAATTGAGGTGTCTCTGCAGCTGGAGTGGGAAAAGCTTGAATTAGGGAACAGATGATTAAGGGACATTGAGGGTGAGGGGTAGGAGACCAAGGTCCTGATTTAGATGTCTCCTGAAGGCCCCTGCTGTGGTCATGAGGTGAAGAGTTCAGGTGTACCCAGGTTTCCACATAACTCGCTGCCCCAAGGTTAGATTGCTCATGGGCCACAGAAATATGCTTTGCCTTTGCTGAATATACAACCTGGGGACGTTTCATGTCTTTTAAATTGTGCTTTGTTCTTGGAAGCAGATCCAGCACTCACCGGGGGAAGAGACAGGTTTTAGTTCCCATAATTCCCATAATGTGTGTGCTTGGGGAAGATGCTCCCCAACCTTCTCTGAACTTGCTCTATTTGGAATTCGGAGCATCTATTAAAACCTGGGAGCACGGCCTTGGCTGCTCTGCACAGTGACAAAACATGGCCCTTGTGGGCTGCACAGTGCTTAGTAGAGTCAGGAGCACAGCAGGAACCCTCCCCAGGGATCAGTCCTTCCTTCCTCCCTCCAGCTCTAGACTTAGGCTCACCTTTCCTGGTGACAGGCTCTGGAGTGGCTCTGAGAAGCAGGACCTCCTGCTTTCCCTTCTGATGTGAGCACAGGAAGCTCCTTTGGCCCAGCTCACAGAAGAAGTCACTCAGACCCCAGAGCTCAGGAAGGTAGGGAGGGCCTGATGATGAGAACTTAAAGAGACAGAAGCATTTCCCATCCGCTGGTGAGTCTGCAGTGTTTCTCCTACAAATCTACTTCCAGCTGTGACTAAGGTAGGGATATCAAATATCTTGCCCTAACCTAGGCATGGCCTTGACTGTTTCAGCTCAAATTTTAGAGCAAATGGGTGATTACTCTGATCATCAGATAAATGAACTTGCTTTCCCCAGGACATAACCTGAAGAGAGCAGCACATTCTTCAGGGATCAGTGTTATTGTCTGAAATACAAGAAAAGTTTATATGACATATGAAGAATCAGGCAAAAAGAATCAGAATATTAACTAGTACAATGAGATTCACAGATGATCCATTCAGTGTGATTACCAGATAAGGACTTAAAAATCATAATAAATATGATAAAAAATTCATAGAAAAATAAATATAATGGGCTAAGAAATGAAGAATTTCGGGACAGAATATAAACCCCAAAGAATTAATTCTGAACTAGGAAATATATATACTATCTGAATTAAACCTAAGTGGATGGGCCTAGTAGCACGTTGGACAATGAAGAAAGGATGCATAAATTTGAAGAGAGATCAAGGGAAATTATTCAAACTGAAGCACTAAAAGGAAAACAATTGAAATAATTTACATGGCACCAAAAATCACTGGAATAATATCAAGCAGTCACTGGAAAAGAATGGATGGGATAGAAATATTTGAACATCAAAGAAACAAAAATTTTTAAATTTGATGAATATCCTCAATTGTGAATTCAAAAAAATTCATGAATCTAAAGTAGAAAAACAAACAAATAAAAATAAACACAGGCATTTTACAGTCAAACTTCTGAAAACCAAAAAAGAAAGAAAGAAAGAAAAATTTAAAATTAAGCAGAGAAAAAATGACACATTACACAAAAGGGAACAATATAAAAATAATGGCTGCTTTTTTTGTAAGAAAAAAAAATGCAAGCCAGAAATCATTAAAATATGTTTAAAGGGATGAAGAAAAATAATGGATCCACAAATATTTCTATATTCAGCAAAATTAACCTTGAAAAACAATTTTTAAAAAGATATCTACACCTAAAAAATATTTTTAAAAAGACATTTTAAGAACTGCATACTATAACGGTGCAGCCACATCAATGTTTATAGCAATGTAATTCACAATAGCCAAGTTATGGAACCAGATGCCCATCAATAGAGAAAACATTAAGACAATGTTATATATAATGGAGTTTTACTGAGCCAAAAGGAAGAATAAAATTGTGGCATTTGCTGGTAAATGGATGGAACTGGAGAATATCATGCTAAGAGAAAAAAACCAGGCTTAGAAAGTCAAGAGCCAAGTGTTTTCTCTTATTTGTGCAGCTAGACCAAAGTAAGATGGGGGGTGGGGGTAGGTAACCCCATGAAAATAAAGGAGAGATCAGAGGAATAGAAGAAAGGAAAAGAGGGGGAGGAGGTAGGGATAGGAAGAGACAGGGAGGCAGGAATGAAATTGATCAAACTATCAATATACATATATGAAGTTACCATATTGAATTTTGCATATATACATATCACTAATTTAAAAAACTATGAATAAATAGAAGGAAGGCTCTAGTTATTTATGAATAAATAAAGGTTCTGTGCAGAATCTTTTTTAATTTGATACCATCCCACTGATTGATTTTTGGTTTTATTTCATGTGCTTTAAGTGTCTTATTAAGGAAGTTGGTTCCTGTACCAATATGTTGGAGTGTTGGGCCACATTTTCATCTCACAGTTGCAGAGTTTCTGGTCTAATTCCTAGGTCTTTGATTCACTTTGAGTTGACTTTGTGCAGGGTGAGAGATAGGGGTCAAGTTTATTATTCTACATCTGTTATTATGAGGTTTTTAACACATGAAGAAGTGAAAATGTGGGCTGGTGATGTGGCTCAAGCGGTAGCGCGCTCGCCTGACATGCGTGCGGCCTGGGTTCGATCCTCAGCACCACATACCAACAAAGATGTTGTCTCCGCCGAGAACTAAAAAAAAATAAATATTTAAAAAAATTCTCTCTCTCTCTTTAAAAAAAAAAAGTGAAAATGTCCGTATGAAATGAGAAGGGTAGGGGTTGCAACGAAAGCACGCTGATATCAGATTCTGTTTCATTTGAAGTGGTGTGCTTTATATTCTAGGGAGAGAGTAATAAGTTAAAGATAAATACTTCAGGTGCTATAGAAACCACTTTTAAAAAAAGGAGCCAAAAGAGATAAAAGGAAATAATTTTTTAGAACTCAATTAATACCAAAGAATGAGATAAAGAGGAACAGAGAAAAGACTAGGTAATGAAAATGAGGAGCAAGATGATAGACTTAAATCCACCTGTAACTATAATTATGTTATATACAACTGATTTTTGACAAAGGAGCAAAGGTAATTTAATGGAGAAAGGATGGTCTTTGCAACAAGTGATTCCAGACCATTAACTCAAAATGGATTATAGATGTACATGTAAAATGCAAAACTACAAAACTCCCAGAGGATAATACTGGGGAAAATCTAGG